GGTACCACAGCCAGGCAAAGGCACACATCAGGGCAGCCTATGATGAATATAAAGTGAATGAGTGATGAGTCAATGGATGAGTGTAAAATGAATGGGTGATGAGTCTATGGATGAGTGCAAAATGAATGGGTCCAGCACCAGCACGAGCTCTCTCCCCACATTCAGCTTATGATGTTAAGAAGCAACAAGGCAAGCACTAAAAGGGGAGGTACAACAGGACACAGATGGGAAGATGGTGGTTTTTAAAAGCAAGGGCTTTCTCTATTGCAGCACTTCCCTTTGGAAAATAAAACTCAAGGACTTCCTTTTAAATTCGCTCAAAGCATTGACCAAGTGTAAGCCCAAGTAATAGCCGGCAGCAATGAAGGAACTACTCCATTTCACACTATTTACAGCTGTGGTTTTTTGTCCTCAAACCCGGTACTCACACCAGGCAGGATGATCTCCTCAAAAGCTTTGCTTATCAGTTTCATCCCCTATTATTCAAGAAGCCAAGCGCAGGAAAGATGTTATTGACACGCCTGAGATCTGTAGCAAGGCACACAAGAGAAGTGTTCTCACTGCTCACTGGCACTAGGACAAGAAGTTATAAGCTTAAGTGACTGCAAGGGCGATTTGTGTTAGACATAAAGCCAGGCAGGCAGCAAAGGTATCACTGGAGGGCTTTGAGAGAAGGATAAAGTGATCCAGAGGAGACCTACAGCACCCGAGAGCCCATCCACAGCAGCAGAAGCAGCCTGGCCTCTGCATGGGCACAGTCCTGTATGGAACTACCCAGGGGGTGAGGCTGAAAATGAGTTAGGAAAAGAGCAGCAGCAAAGAGCCACCCCAGAACCCAGACTGCGCTGTCGCAAAGCTCGTCTCCTCATTAACAGAAGCAATTATAAGCTGCCATAAAGCATAATTACACTACACACAGTGTTAGATTCGCCACCCGGTTCCAGCCATTAATAAGGGAGCTCAGGCTGATGAGCACAGAGAACTTGCAGGCCAGTGTCCTTCATTTTTCAGCAGATCACTGATGAATCCCTCAGTAGATCAGAGAAGCCATTTCTTGCCTAATGCAGTGTCAAGCGTGCACTACATCCTACACCACGAGCAGTTCCCATTAGCAAAGGCTGCTTCCTTCTCATTAGTGTGACTTGTGCCTTTCATCTTATCCCCATGTTTCCAGAGCAGCAGCCACATCAGCTTGCCTGGTAAAGCTCCAAAGTCCTTCACACAGACATTGCAGGGATGAGCCCGGTACAGACTGAAACCAGGTCTAGTGGAAGGGGTCCATGCCTATGGCAGGGGCATGCAACTAGATGATACCCATAATTTAAATTAGAATGAATCACAGAATCATGGAATTCTGGAATCCCAGGTTGGAAGGGAACTCAAGGATCATCTGGTCCAACCTGTCTAGGCAAAGCATGACCTAGATGAGATGGGCCAGCAGCCTGTACAGCTGAATCATAGCATCCTAGAGTGGTTTGGGTTGAAGGGAGCTTAAAGCTCATCCAGTTCCAACCCCTGCCATGGGCAGGGACCCCTTCCACTGGAGCAGCTTGCTCCAAGCCCCTGTGTCCAACCTGGCCTTGAACACTGCCAGGGATGGGGCAGCCACAGCTTCTCTGGGCACCCTGTGCCAGCGCCTCAGCACCCTCACAGGGAAGAGCTTCTGCTTAAGAGCTCATCTCAGTCTCCCCTCTGGCAGGTTAAAGCCATTCCCCTTGGCCTGTCCCTACAGGCCCTTTTCCAAAGCCCCTCTCCAGCTTTCCTGCAGCCCCTTCAGGCACTGGAGCTGCTCTGAGGTCTCCCCTTCAGGAGCCTTCTCTTGTCCAGGCTGCCCCAGCCCAGCTCTCTCAGCCTGGCTCCAGAGCAGAGCTGCTCCAGCCCTCGCAGCATCCATTGGACTCCCTCCAACAGCTCCATGTCCCCCTTGAGCTGTGTTTTAAACGTTGTTTAACGTGTGCCCAAGCACTAGAAACTATTTCATCCCTAAACCTGGCATCATTCCTGTGTAGGCAAGAGATGCAGCCACTAAACAATCACCTACTGGGACAAGTGCGGTGCCAGGATGCCCGCCATGGACGATGCCAGTGTTGGAAGCAGAGCATCGCCCAGCACAACAGCAGCACTGCGCCAGCTCCCCCCAGTGCTGTCAGAAGTGGTGGGAAACAAATTGAGAAGGAAACTTCTCTCGAGCACAGATTTACGTTGCTGTCAAAGAAGAGTGGCTGACAGCTATTTCTGGAACCTGGTCTCCATCCTATTAATTCAACGTCTGGTTGAAGTTGTCTCATTTGCAGCAAATCTGGCTGGTAAATATTAACCTTGGGCTTTGTTGAAATTCTCCTCGCAGATATTACACGGGATCGGATGGGAAAGGTGAAGCAGAAAGAGACAACTTCACCGCCAATGTCAGGCCGATCCTCCCCATCGCTGTTTCATTTACACAAAAGCTATTGCAAGGCACCACAAAGTAAATGGCAGGAAGGGGCCACAGCTCCTGCCTGGTGAAATTAAGAGCAAAAAGACCTAAGTGCTGAGAAACCTCCCGAAAACAAAATAGGGGTGGGCAGGAGATCATCCACAGTGCAACTGTGGATGCCTGCTGTGCATCGGCTGGGAGCAGGTTTCAGTGTTAAGATCAGGGTAAGCACAAGCCAGCATCTGGCTATAGATAGATATTAGCCACATAAAAGCAGCCCAAATGTATTTACCGTGACAGAACCTCTCCTCTTATTTGAGAGGAGATGTGAAACAGACGCTGAAGCTGCTCAGTCCCCCCCCAGAGATGGCTGCATTTCAACCAGCCCCAAAATGATGCATCAGAAAGCCATGGAAGCCTGGCAGCTACACTGGGGCTTCTTCAGAGGAGTGGTGCCATAGAGGAAGATGGACAGTGAAAAGGCTCAGCTTTCCTGCAGCAGTCATTAGCAGTGCTGTAAATCCTATTAGTCTTTTCTCATCTCCTGATTTCAGTGTGAGGATACAAATGTTCTCTCGGCGGCAGGATGATTTCAGCGCTTAAATCACAGTTATGGGGACACCAGCTTTGTGATTTAGTTCCAACAGCTTCACCGGGTCACTGGCAAATAAAGGAATAAAGCTCCTTCTTGCTGCGCAGAAGCCACACACTTGGCCCTAAGCACCAGCCTGGATCCATTCTGGATCCAGCTCACAGCCAGGCCCTGGAGGACCACTGGACATGAAGCCACCCTGGCAGTCAATGGGGTGAACAAGCAACTGCTTTCAGACACCCACACTGCAGGGGCAGCTGGAAAGTCCTCAGAGAAGATAAAGGACAAGGGAGAGGACCAGGAGCTGGGAAGCAGCACCAAAGGCAGCCTGGAGAGCCACCGGGCATCCCTGGCACCGCGTGAGGGTCAACCCCTGCTTCCCAAGGCTTCTGGCCCTTGAATAAACCCATGGTCCAACCCCTCATGGCCAGAAGAGCTGCAACAGGGGTGGTGGCCAAGCAGTTTCACAGGCAAGGAGGAGCCAGTGGACTCGCACCATCCAAAGCCACCATCACCACCAGACAGCACAGCCAGATTTGCTGCTTTAACACCCCCGAACTAACACCGTATTTACCTGCCCCAGCTCAAGGGCTTTTGTCCTTGAAGAATTTCCACAGCCCTTGATGCTTCCATCAGCAGCCTTTCAAAGCTCCTCGCTTCATTCTGTGTTAATGCAGGGCTCCGAAACCAAGCACACAACTTTCAACCCTCCAAAACTTATTTGACCAGGCATCAGACGCTGCTCCGCAGAGAGTGACTAATGACCTGCTTCCTGGGAAAGGATGGGGGGGGGAACTTCATTATAGCCATTAAATTACTTCAAATGTTTTTCCTTAGAGAATATGAATTATTTAAACTCAACACGGAGAAACCTGAAATATTAGCAAAAGCCTGCTGGGACTCACTATGTAAATTCCCACTCCAAACAGATGGGGAAAGCATGGCGAGCTGCCACGCAGCCACTGAAGCAATGAGCAGTGCTGAGATTTCAATCCGATGGATTTCATTAGGTCGCCTTAAAGGAGGGCACCAGGCAAACGGGTGCTGCCTGGAGCACTGGGAAAGGATTCCCACCTCCCGGAGGGAGGCGGCAGCGCTGGCACAACTTCAATCTGGAAAGCTTCAAGTAGCTCCTGAAGGGCAGACTTGATCCCTTAGGGAAAGCTCGCTCTCCTGCGGCACTGCACACCTCAAACACGGCGGAGCTGTGCCTCTTTGGGACTTATTTATAGGCATTTTCCTCTCCATCTGTTTTCTACCAGGTGACAAATTGTGGCTGCGCCATCCCTGGCAGTGTTCAAGGCCAGGTTGGACACAGGGGCTTGGAGCAAGCTGCTCCAGTGGAAGGGGTCCCTGCCCGTGGCAGGGGTTGGGACTGGAGGAGCTTGAACACTGCCAGCGATGGGGCAGCCACCCCTCACAGTACTTTCAGAGGCTCCCTCGCTCTGAGAGGAGGAGCACAGCAGCCAGGATCCCACACTCAGGGCTGATCCCATGCCTGGCTCTCACCTGCCTTTGAAAGTGAGATCAAAGTGGCCACAGCAGCAGGCTCATTAGAGGGAGACCTGTTAATGTAAAGGTTATATCCACTTTTACAGCTGTCATTAAACATAACCTCAAGAGCTATAAAGTCCCTGAATTATTAAGTCGTGTGTAAAGCGTGACAAAGGGGATATTAATGTTCTAGATTAATTTTATAGCTACAGATAAAGCCATGGGAGATGCCTGATGGTACCCAGAGCTTTGGCACGCCTGCCCAGCCAACACCGTGCTGCAGAGCAGCTACCAGCAGCGCACCCCATTTACCCAATTGCCACCCTTCAAATCAAGGTCTGGCCGTTAGCTCGGGAGCAGCAATCAGCTAAAAGAATCACATTGCTGACCAAAGGCAATTCCACTTGTGTGAGCCGTGCTCCAGCACTGGAGCAGTCTGGCAGCGACACGGACTGACACAGAGAAAGGCTGCCAGAGGACACCGACAGCCACTTTTACCTCTGCATCCCCCGTCCTTCTCCTCGAAGCCAGGACCACACGCGCACTTCCCGATGGGGACCAGCCACTCGCCCTCAGCGCTGCAGTGCATCCGGGGGGGGTTATCCACATCCACTTGGGCGTGAGCAACACAAGAGCCCTTCACTTCCACCAGCGTGGCAAACGCCGTCTCCGCCACCGTGTCTGGGAACACGGCCAGGTTCTGCACGGTCGCCAGGCACTTCTTGTAATAGACCCGCACGGAGACCAGCGCCACGCAGGCACCCACGTCCTGGAAGCCAAGGTGGAAGCCTCTCTTGCTCAGGTGCCCAATCTCCCTCAGCTCCGTGTTCAGCTTCATCTTCCGCTCACCCAGGTCCCCCTGGGTGAAGCTCTCATCAGCGGCGATGGTGTCGATCTTGGTGTGCTTGCTCTCATGGATGCTACGGCCCAGGTCGGAGTCGGACTCGACGTAGTACAGGTTGAACGTCTCCTTGCAGGTGCCCGTCACGCCAGGGATGCTGTTGCAGTCCCGCAAGGTGAACTTCAGCTCGATGAAGATCCTCTGGCCATCGCGCCGGGCAATCCAGCCTGTCTGCAGCCAGTTGTTCTGGTTTGGCTCCATGACATTGCAGACCTGGTACGTGCGTATCGGCTTGTAATGCTCATCCACCCCGCTGATTTCTTCCCACTGGGGAAAGAAGGCAAAGGGCTGTAAACAGCTCGTGAGCTGCCATGAGCAAGAGCCAGCTGCCCTGGCAGAAAAACACCCACCACCACAAGCCTCTCCCCACCTACAGCCCGTTATATCATAGGCAATACAAGTCTTCAGCCCACCAAAACCTCAAGCTGTAGGAGCACAGTGGTGCTGCTGGACCACCTAACACTTGGGCTCCTTGCAGAGGTACAAACATGGAGACACACCTCGAACAAGAGCAATGGCATCAGACCTTCTGAAAGGGGACACATCATCTGCTGAGAAGCCAGAGACTTTATCCCCTAGATGCTGTCCCTTAGGAAGGACCATCTGCACAGCATAAAGCCAGATGTGGCTGGGCTATCCAGAGAAGTCAAAGATGGCCAAGGAGATGTGACTCCAGTCACACCATCACAGGGGGACAAATATCTTTGTGACTAGTAGCAGCAGCTTCTCCATCAGGGGAAGTTTGAGCTGGAACAGGACAAACCCTCTGACTGCAAATGAAATGGTATTTCCCCAAAGTTCCCAGCAGAGATTCTGATCAGCGAAGCGATGATTCCACCCTCACATCCTTAAGGATGACCTGGCAACCTCCCAAAGCAATTCTTTCTGGGTGTAGACTTATGCAAGATTGCCAAAACCACCCAAAATAGTATTTCTTCAGCAGACTAACAGCTGGCCAACACAGATGACTCCACGATCTAGCACTACTCCCTCTGAACACTTTGCTTCCATGCTGGAAAATGAACCCACAGCCACAGGCAACACAACTCCTGAGTTTCCCAACACATCCTCCAGAACACGGTTATAGACTGACCCTGGACCTGAATCAAACCAACCCTACGTGATGCTGGGCTGATGATCCCACCCCAGGCACAGCCCTCCTGCGAGAGCCGAGCTGTTCCTCCGGAGCTCGTGCTACAACACAAAGCTTTAACTTGCTGCTGTTTATTTGCTTAGCCCAGGAGTGTAAAATTCATTTGGAGGGGGCATTCCGCATTGAGCACACTGCTCCCATAACCCGTGCTCTGCTCCTCGATGTGCCTGGTGCTGACTAACACAACAGCTCATGCCGAGCTGCCCGTACGCCCCCAGCTCGAGGTGACCCGGTGGCTGTCAGCCCCCTCCACCAGCTCCACGTGAGCAGGATGCTCACGCTGCAGGACTTGCAATACCGAGCACCAAAAGGCAGCCCCAGCTCTGCACTTACCCCGTTGGATGGGTGCGAGGTCCAGCCCAGCTCCGCTTGCGATTCCTTTGAATCCAGCAGGACAACTGCAGAGAAGGTGACACGTTAGAAAGCAAACTCAGTGACCCTGAAAATGCCAGCAAATATCCACCTGGGAAGCTCGGTGCTGTGCACCCCTGCTGGCATGGGAGCCAGGTCCTGGAGTATGGCGAGCAGCCCCCACCGCATCTCCACCAGCATGAGCACGGAGCAGGACTCCCGCTGCAGAGCTCTAGGCTGCACTCTCAGCTATGCCATTAACACCCTGACCTAACGAGGGTGACACCCCGGGAAGGCTGCGGTCCTTCCCAAGGGGCTCTGCAGGACAACCCCACTGACACCACCGCAGCGGTACCGTGCGTGTCCTGGAGCTGGAATATATCGGTGGCTGCTTTGAAGCGGGAGTTCCCTTGGCAGACTACACCCTCTTCCCACGGAGCAGCCGATCCTCCGGGCTCCAGAAGAGCATTTCCCCATATTCCCAGTTCTGGGGCTCCTCCACAGCCAGCAGCGGTCCCTGCCTGCGCGCTCTGCCGCGCCTCACCCCCGGTTCGAGCCGCCCGCTGATACCGGGCGCATCCTCGCCCGTTTCACACGCGAGCGCTCCGGGACGGCTCCCGCCCCGGTCCAGCGCGGTAAGGAGCTCTCTTCCTCCCAGCGCCTCCGGTAACGGCGGGCACCCGAGTCCCCTCTCCTCGGGAGACCCACACACCCCGCCGGGACCCACCCGCCCCGTCCCTCTCCTCCCCTGCGGAGCCACCGCCGCGCCCGGCGGGGAAGGGCTCCTGGACCGGACCCGGCGGCACCGCAGCCGAGCCGCCACCGAACCGCACCGGCCTCTCCCGGTGGCTGCGGGCACCGCAACGCCCGAGCAGCGGGGCGGCACCGAGCGGTACCGGTACCGGCGCCAGGGCCCGGTGCGGTGATGCCGGTGCCCGGTGCGGTGATGCCGGTGCCGGGTGCGGTGATGCCGGTGCCGGGTGCGGTGATGCCGGTGCCGGTCCCGTCTCACCCTGCTCGGCGGCGGCGCGGGGCAGCACCGGCAGCAGCAGCAGCACCGGCAGCGCCCGCGGGAAGCCGCCACGCGCCGTCGCCATGGCGCCGCCAACTCCGCGCGCCCCGCGCCGCCACCGCCGCCGCGCTCCGGACGCTGAGCCCCGCCCCTCCGGCCACAGCACAGCCAATCATCGACGACGGGGCGGGGCCGCGGCCGGAACGGCCAATCAGCGGGAAGGGGCGGGGTGGGCGAGGCGTTCACGCTGAAGCCTATTGATGGCGGTGGCGGCCCGAGCCTCGACCGGGTGCGTCCGGTTGCGGGCTCCCGGCTGCCGGCGATGCCCTCAGCGCCATGGTTCAGTGGTGGCCTTGGCGGTGCTGGGGTTAGGGTTGGAGTGGGTGAGCTTGAAGGGCTCCTCCAACCCAGCTGATTTTACACCCCATGGAAGCGGAAGGACCGCTGGGGCGCAGACAGCCCTTGCAGATGCTGGGATGTTGCAGCCTGGTGCTCACAACCATAACCATAACCCGCAGTGCTGTGCCCACACTCCAAGGATGACATTTGCTCCCTGCTGCTATTAACAGGCAGCCAGTGGCGAGTCAGAGCCTTGTTTCTGCACCATAGGGCTCAGGAGAGGAGCAGGGCAGCTCTCAGTGATCCCCAGGAGTACCAGTTTTATGCCAAGCCCTCTGCTCTGCCTTTCTACCTTCAGATTTGATTCTCCTCTTCTTCACCGGGTCCTCCAAGCCCAGCAGCTGCCCTAAGAGTCAGGCAGAAAGAAGCCCCAGAGAAAGGCAGCACTGCAGTGGCCAGCACTGAATGGGGAGGCTCCCGCAGGTCCCAGTGCTGCAGGAGAAGAGCAGTGTCGTGTGTCTGCACAAACACGCTCCGTTTAAGCACCTCAAAGCGTTAGACCCTAAAGCTTGAATTCTGCGGTGCCTCACGCATGAGAAGCTTGCTGGAGCGGGCATCCCACTGAAGCCTGCTGCCAGTCAGGCTCAGATTTGCACATTGCATAATAAGATTAATTAGATATGGTGACTGCAGTTCATTTGCCTCATACCCCAGCTTCTAAGCTCTCTCTTCCTGAAGTCAGTTGGGACTACCCATGTGAAACCGTATTTGAAAGTCCCTGCAGGACCAGGAACCGTGAGCAGCTCAGGTACCAGCTCAAAACCCTGAGCATGATGTTTCTTTAGTCTGTTCCACAGGAATCTTGCCTTTCCAAGCATTTTATTAACACCTAAGGCATGTTTTCTTTTGAGACGTTTGGGAGGCATTGCATTCGAGTATAAAGCTGTTGGAAACCTGGGGCTCTCAGCCAGCTCAGAGGAAGATGCTGCTGCTGTAGCCAGCCTGCAGAGGATTCACAATTGGATTTGACAATATATACTTCTAATATTTCTACTTGCTTTCCATGTCTTCCCACCCCAAAGCACCAATTCCCCATATTCCAGCTCAGCCCCAAACCTTTCTGTTCAGCTCCCACATCAGTGAAACCTAATCCAGGGCAGAGACCTGTAAGGGGACACAGCCAGCCTAGCTGGAGAGTGTTTCTATCCCTCCCTCTATTTCTCAGCCCCTCTGCAAACACAGCCACTACCTTTTCCCTGCATTATCTTGACGGGGGAGAAAATCCCCATCCATTTATCAGTGCTCTTTCCATCTGCGAGAGCTCAGCATGGGTTAGCGCATTGCTGCGGTGCTGCTGCATCCCATCAGTGCTCTGAGCCCAAGTGATGCTCCCGGTGAGCCCGGGGTACCGCCCTGGTGGCTGGAGTCACAAGTTCATACGATTAAACCCTCCCTCCATCACATTAGAGGGCAGGGAAGCAAAAGTCAGGGCTTATTTATGATCTTCCTCAAGTGGAAAGCAGAAGTGACCCATTATTACTGGAGATTTTTCAAGCCACCCAGGAAGAAAAGTGATATTTAGTCGTCGTTAAAGGCTCATAACTGCATAACAATTTCACGCTATGTTAACTTCGAGGTTTTCTTTTGCATATAAATTTTTAAGGAGTAAAATAGAAAAACCCAGGCACTTGACCTTTAATCACAGTTATTTGTGTGATCAGTCAAGTGTGGGGGAAAGCTAGTTTGTGCTTGAAAGATGCCCTTTAAAACTAGATTGCTCTAATATGACACACAACTCACACGGTGTAATATATGGGATCTCACTTACCAGCCCCTAGGGCACAACTGCCTGCCATTTAGTATTCACGGACAGGATCTTGCTGCTGGTACGTTGGAAGGTATTAACGTCGTGGAGCAAATCAATACATCCCCCTGGGAGAGCTCCATTCACCTCCGAAACCCAGGGGAGGTGTAGGTATTCATGTCATCAAAGAGCCAAACAGGGAAGAGCGCATGGAGGTGTATGGAGGCTTTGAGGTTAGAGAGATGCTTCGCTAGGAGAACAGGATGTCATGCTAATAGAGCACAAGGCTTTCCCATTTATCTGAAATATTATTCCAAGCGCTAATAAGAGCTTAATATTAGAGCAGCCAGAGGGTGTTTTAATTATGATTGTGAAGTATCGTGTTGTTTGGGGGAAAGGATCTCATGAATGTTTCTTCTGCAAGACTGGATGACTAAAAGCCAGTGCTGCGGTGAAGGAAGCAGAGATGCCTTTTCAATGGAGACTATTGGATTAATTCCTGATCAGGCACAGGGAATGACAGGGACTGGCCTCTGAGCCCAAAGGCAGGCTGGGGCACAGCCGAGCCAGCACCAGGGACATGGCTGGGGGGCAGGACAGGGAGATGCTGTCCCCAGGATGGCACAATACCTTCCCCTCATCCTGAATGCTGCCACATGAGCCTGGAGACACACGAGTGGGAAAGCAATATCCAGGATACCCAAGTTCCAGATTGCCAGGGGAGCTTCTGCAAAGAGCCAGGGCCAGCAGAGCCCTGGAAATGTGTAATTCACTGAGCTGAGCTATTACCTGCTGTAAGTGCAGACAGAAAGATAGGTTTGAAACCACAGTGAAAATAACCCTCCTGGAAAAAACAGAAATCAATACAAACACCAAGGAAAGAGGATCAGAATCCAAAACCATCAATTCCTGAGATAAAGAGTTGAAAGTCTCAGTGGGAGGACAGCCAGATCTGGCCTGGAAAACAAAACCTTGGTTTCTTCTGCTGACAAATGACTTTTTATGCTAAGGACAAAGGAGCCAGGAGGATGTGGGTCTTGGGATGCGGCTTGAAGCAAGCAGAAACCTCACAGAAGCTTTTGCACCGTCCTCTTCCACACGTGAAAGGATTTCCTTACCATGGAGACAAGGGACTTGTGTGACCTCATGCTGGTTTGGGCACAGCACAAAACCATGCTTCACGACAAGGTTTGGTGTTACTGGTGTGACACGGGTGGAGGCAGAGCAGAGCAGACAACAGCATTAAGGCATCTGTAAAGTAAATATCCCACAGAGGAAAGCAGCTCAAATGATCCGCACCGGGTACCAATAGCCCTTCACCATCCCACTGCTGATCCCAGGGCTCAGACACCTCTTCCCTGCTCCATCACAGCCAGCACCGTCCCCTCCCTGCACCATCTCCTCTCTGCTAACTGGTAGAAATCACAGCAAGGAGGGAAGTTGCTGTAAAGCTTCCCCATAAATCACAGCCAAAGCTGTTGGGCTGCAAAAGGGGAATACTCTGTGGATTCACTCCTTTTACCTCCCGAGTTGTTTGCATGGGAATCAAAGCAAGCAGAGCTACGCATTTGTTTCTAAGGGCTGCATTTCCCTGTCAGATGTGGTGCACTTTGCTTCAGGATCGCTGCGCTAGAAATAGTGTGCAGCAGCTCTTTAGCTTTTAAGGTAATCACATAAAAGATCCTTGCCTACATAACGGCAGCTAATCTGGGTAAATGCCTTGAAGCATCTTTACAGCTCCTGCTAATGGATTCCCAGGCAGCCCACAGAGGTCCGTGTCCTAGCAAATAATGTAAACCACAGCAAACGGCTCATTTTTGTCAATGCCTCCCATTCGTCATACCCTGAGAAAACCCAGAGCTCCAGGCAGCACGAGATCATTATACTTCTATAAGTAACACTCCGTCCTGTCATCGTCAATATGAAAGCAGCCTTTCACTGGGGGCAAGGATCCACTCAGCATGAAAGTCCAACTCGACCGGAGCCGGATTATCACACGCTATTGATTAGAAGCAGACAGGAGGGATCCAGGCACTGCCATCCGGTGGCAGAATCTGAAGGGCAAAGCCAAGGCGTTTATGGAGCTGGGGAGCTGTGTGTGGAAGATGCTGCTCGCCTTTCCCCACCTCCATTGGAGCTTTGGGAGCAGCAGGAGGCTCACGGGAGATGCTGCCATGCCATGCATGAGGTGAGTGCAAATCACTGTCCAGAAACCCCGCATCCCCTGCTTCTATCAGGGTCCAGGGCTTGCCATGCATCACTTGCAGCCACAGGGACCCAACATGGGTTACAAAGGGCCCCTGGTCCTGGCAGTGCCATGCTGCCAGCAGCATTCCCAGGATCCAGCCGTCCCAGGGTGCTCCATCCCAAGCTGGGCACAAGTCCTGGTGCTGCCTTCAGCTCCAGCCGCAAAACCCCCGTAAGGGAGAACCCTCCTATTTTAAGAGCTCTCTGATGTCATTGTCTCTGTGGAGGAGGAACCAACAGATGCACAAGAGCAGTCAGGCCACCTAATCCTGCAGATTTATTACATGCATTAATCAGACTCCCTGTGCCATTCCTAGGGGACCCATGCCCACTCATGCAGCTCAGTGCCCGTGGGGATGGAGGTGTATGGCAGAGCTGGAGCCAGTGCCAAGCACATGAGGCCAGTGAATCCCAGCTCTCCTTTGGTGGGCACAGCCAGAGCAAGCTCCAGTGTTGTGCACACACAGGATGGAGGGTGCACAGCACAGTTATAACCGGGATGGGGGGGGTCTGGCACCCCAATGACCCCCCAGCTTCCCCAGGGAGGCAGGTCCTGCCCTGCAGAGATGCTTTGCTGGTGGCATTGAATAGAGCACTGAGCACAGACCGGCTGCTTCTTGCTCTGATTGAAAGGCTGAATTGCAGACTGAGCGCTCAGTCTGAGCCTCTGAGACCTGAGGTCTCTGATAGAAATGATGATATTCCT